AAAATTCACATATCAACTTTTCTCGATATTTTATTAGACTGATGATAATTTCTGAAACTAGAGGATTGATTCCTGTGAAATTTTACAATGTTATAGGAAGATCGTGTAGATGATAAAACGCTAACAAAAATTTTTCTGATCATCCCCAGCACCAGCTCAAAAATTTGCATGGCAAATGCTATTTAAGTTTTATAAAACAAGATATACCTGTACTTATGGTTTATGAATCCACCTTGATATTTTTAATTATTTTAATTTTTATTGTTTAATCGTTAAGAGTAAAGTTTACTATGGGTTATCATAAAAAACTAAAATTAGCAAAATTCAATTTCGACTGTGTTTCAAGGGTCGGGGAAGTTCTGTCTGAATAACTTGTAACTATTTTTTTTATTAGAGATGTATCATTTTGCATCATACTGTAGAATTTTAGTAAAATTTTTACATTTATTGAAGCATATATTTATTATGCTGAACTCCTGCGACAAACAGGTGACATCGAAAAATATCAAGGTAATATAGCAAAAGTTAACTTAAAAATCAGCTAATAATAATGGATTTCAACAGCTTTTTATAACATCCTTAAAGTAAAAAAAAATACGAAACTGTTACGTATAATAAATATATTGCGTTAGAAAATACACCTAATAGAATATGAAAAAAAAAGACTCGAAAAATGTGGCAAAAAAATTCATCATTCGTTTACTATTGACCAAATAAAACAACAAAAAAATTATTTTAAAAAGCGACTTATGACCTATTTAAAATTTGTGAGAAAGTTACCGTTAAAATTTGTTGAATTTTATAGAAAATCGAAATTTTATAAAGCTTTTTGTTCTTTTTTTGATTTATTAATAACTTCTAGAATATTAAAATTTAGGTCAGATTTATTCCGCAGTGTGCTCACCTAATGTACTATTTTTCACGGAAAAAATATACAGTGTGATGAAAAAATTACGGATAAGTTTGATGGCACGTTGTTAAAAAGGTTCTAAGAAACTCGAAGGAAATAGTAAAAAAGTTAACTTCATAATTCTGATGTTTTAATGTGAATTTAATCGACAGTCAAAAATATAGATAAAAATTGTCAAAAATGACATTTGTCAACAGTAAAAAATGACGTCGTGGATAGTATTCTGGCAAATTATTATTAAATAATAATAACTAATTCTATTATATATACAGATCATTAAAATAAATCAAAATTACCAAGTTGATTCTTCAACTTTGAAGTTTGATATTTTCGAAAGTTTGGTCTAGGGATTTTTTAAACCATTTTTTTCGAGCTCGACAGAGCCTTTTTAACAACGTAACACCGAGCTTATCCGTCATTTTTTGATCACCCTGTATATTAATAGTTGAAGTAAAATTGCGTAAATCTTTGTTTAATAGAATTATCTGAGTTGCAATTATTTTGATTTAAATCTATCAAATAGTAAACGATTTGGAAATTTTTAGCTTTTTTTTTCGAAATTTTGACTTAAATTTTGTTAATCGCTAATGTTGCGAAATTTTGGTTTAATGTATAAGCTAGCCTTACGAAAATTGCTACAAAATCTGAAATGAGATTTTTTCAGTATTTTTTTTGGCTTAGAGAAAACCATTACCGATACATTAAATTTAGGAATCATTTTAAATTTTAACATTTTGATTTTGTTTTTATTATTTAAATTATCTGAAAACTTTTTACTGTAAGTAAAGTGTCATCATTATCATTTTTAACACCAAAAAAAAAAACAATTTAGACTTTCAAGACAGTTGTGCATAAATTTTTGGAGTAGATTTCTAATCATAATAATTTTAATTTGTAATAAAAATATCTTGCTTTAGGACTAACTAAAATAATAAAATTGAAATACACGGAAGGCTTAGAAAAAATACGTTGTAAGATAAATTAATTAAAAATGTAAACCGTCAAATTTTTCGAAAATATTAAAATAATACATAACCCTATTTTTTTTTAATTTACCAAAATGTTCTGTGTCTATTTTCACAACGTAACACCGAGCTTATCCGTAATTTTTTGATCACCCTGTATATTAATAGTTGAAGTAAAATTGCGTAAATCTTTTTTTAATAGAATTATCTGAGTTACAATTATTCTGATTTTTTAAATCTATCAAATAGTAAACGATTTGGAAATTTTTAGCTTTTTTTTCGAAATTTTGACTTAAATTTTGTTAATCGCTAATGTTGCGAAATTTTGGTTTAATGTATAAGCTAGCCTTACGAAAATTGCTACAAAATCTGCAATGAGATTTTTTCAGTATTTTTTTTTTGGCTTAGAGAAAACCATTACCGATACATTAAATTTAGGAATCATTTTAAATTTTAACATTTTGATTTTGTTTTTATTATTTAAATTATCTGAAAACTTTTTACTGTAAGTAAAGTGTCATCATTATCATTTTTAACACCAAAAAAAAACAATTTAGACTTTCAAGACAGTTGTGCATAAATTTTTGGAGTAGATTTCTAATTATAATAATTTTAATTTGTAAAAAAATATCTTGTTTTAGGACTAACTAAAATAATAAAATTGAAATACACGGAAGGCTTAGAAAAAATACGTTGTAAGATAAATTAATTAAAAAAGTAAACCGTCAAATTTTTCGAAAATATTAAAATAATACATAACCCTATTTTTTTTAAATTTACAAAAATGTTCTGTGTCTATTTTCACAACGTAACACCGAGCTTATCCGTAATTTTTTGATCACCCTGTATATTAATAGTTGAAGTAAAATTGCGTAAATCTTTTTTTAATAGAATTATCTGAGTTACAATTATTTTGATTTTTTAAATCTATCAAATAGTAAACGATTTGGAAATTTTTAGCTTTTTTTTCGAAATTTTGACTTAAATTTTGTTAATCGCTAATGTTGCGAAATTTTGGTTTAATGTATAAGCTAGCCTTACGAAAATTGCTACAAAATCTGAAATGAGATTTTTTCAGTATTTTTTTTGGCTTATAGAAAACCATTACCGATACATTAAATTTAGGAATCATTTTAAATTTTAACATTTTGATTTTGTTTTTATTATTTAAATTATCTGAAAACTTTTTACTGTAAGTAAAGTGTCATCATTATCATTTTTAACACCAAAAAAAAAAAAACAATTTAGACTTTCAAGACAGTTGTGCATAAATTTTTGGAGTAGATTTCCAATTATAATAATTTTAATTTGTAAAAAAATATCTTGTTTTAGGACTAACTAAAATAATAAAATTGAAATACACGGAAGGCTTAGAAAAAATACGTTGTAAGATAAATTAATTAAAAATGTAAACCGTCAAATTTTTCGAAAATATTAAAATAATACATAACCCTATTTTTTTTAAATTTACAAAAATGTTCTGTGTCTATTTTCACAAATTCTGTCTCCTTTCTTCTCATTTAAGGTTAAAATTTCGTCAACATTTTACAAAAAATATATAAATAAAATAATAAGCAGTTTCCAATTAAAATAAGGTTTAGAATTTATATCAAAACTGAAAACTGAAAAAAAAAGGCTTAAGGTTATTTCGACATAATTTTCCTCGCCTCTGAAATACCTACAATCCAACAAATTTCGCCTCTTTGAAAAATTGTAAAATTTTATTTTGCGATATTTTATTTTTTGTGAATCTTCTATAAATAAAAAAATATAGATAATACAAGCCGAAATTTGGACAGAGAGGGGAAAAACTTAAGGCGCATTCATAAACCACCAATTTAAATAGGGAGCATTTACTAAGAAAATTTTAGGCCGACGTCATAAAATTGTTAGTTGGGATAATTAGACAAATTTTGGTTGGCGTTTTACCACGTACACGATATTCCTATTAATATGACTATAAAATCTGACTATCGGCCTAGTAGTTTTGGAGATTTTCTATCTAATAAAAATCAACACAAACCACAGACAGACGGAAAGGTGAAACCATGAAAACATGAAAGTGGCCATTCACCGGATTATGAATAACCATTTATTACTGAACATTATTTTTATGACTTTGGATAGTAAATTTTGTAAAAAAAAATAGAAATAGAATTTTAGTAATAACACTTTTAAAAATGTTACGTGATATTAAAAAAAAATAAGTGTTATTAGTCTACTATAATACAAAATTTTAGTAATGAGACTATGATTTCATCACATTGGAGTTAGCTAAAAAAAGAATATGTATATAAAAATAATATAAAATATTCTAAGGTCCTTTTTAGTGGAATTTAGTTTAAATATGCCTGGTTCTATCCGCGATTTTAGAAAATTTACAAAAAAAAAATAAGTTTTAAAATGAACCATTGTCATTATTTAATAATTTAATAATAAACTTAAATAAAATAATTTGTTATATTTTACAACGCTATTTTTTACTTTCTTCATAAGCTCAGGCGACACAGAAAAAAATATATTGAAACTAAAAAATTTACAGCATCATTAAAAAAATATTGAAGAAAATTTCAATAACAAAGAAAAATTTTAAATAACAATTTATTAAATTTTTTTAATTACAATTTTTGACGGTGTTTTCTCTTATAGGTTCTAAAAACAGTGGAATAGAACGATTAAAAACAAGAATTTAAATTTGGTTCTGATTAAAAAAACTAAGTAATGCAGCGACATCGTAGAAAATATTCTCTAAACATATTAACATATTTAAATTTGAAGACATTGTTTTGACATTAAGTGGCGAAAAACACATAAAGAACGTTTTTTTTTATTATCCAAAATCAAAAAGGAAAAAATATACACATACCGAGAAAGCACAAAAAATGCTGTCAAAGACAGCCATGAAATTTTGAAAATTTGTCTTTGATCGTTGCATTTTCAACTCAAAGTTGACCATAATCTGACAAGACGAATTTCTTACTCTCTGTGTATAAGGTTTTTGCAGGAATTTTAGAAGCGTGTCATGCATCATGCAACACTCTAAACCGTCAAAACTTTGACAGTTTTCTCGAACTGTCAATCCAGCGACTATTGTTTGAAAATTTTCTTTTTTTTTTGGACATTACCTTGTGACTGTCGCCGAAAATCGTGATGCCGAATCCGGGGCGTCTGCCCCCCTTACGCGGAAAACCCTGCCGGCAACGCCACTGTCACACTACCCGACCCTTCGCGCCATCACAACCCAACCAACAAAAATAAATCCGGAAGGAGTCCGCTCCGGAGCGTCTCGTCAGCGCGGCAACGGCAACCGGATCGGAGCAAATGACAGATCAACACGAGACACTGACGTTGCTAGGGGAGGTCCAGATGCTGCGAGTAGCGGCGCGAGTGCGCAGTCGGCGGGGGCGGGGCTTGCGAGAAGGATTCCTGCTGAATCCTGCTGAAGGACGAGGACGGAGGCGCGCTCCGGCACACCGGATCCGGCTAATAGTGGGGATACCGATACAGTTTATGGCTAAACACTAAACACTTTTTTTACGAGCAGATTAAAGCGAGAGGGCTTTAATGGATTTGTTTTGTTATAAGCAAGATGGATGATGGGGTCTTTGTGCCGTGATATATTTGCTTGCGCCATTGGACGGCGACGCGGAGGTTCCGGGTCCTTTTCATTTGTCGGTATCGTCGCGGGATGCTCGGGAGATGGGTTCGGGCTTATTTATTATTTAGAGGTAATTAGAGGAGGATTGGTGGCGGTTTTTTCGGGATCGATGGATTGGTGCGGAACGCGTGTAAATGGAACGAAAGTGGAGGACAAATGAGGTTTGGATGGCAAGTGGCGCGGTTAGCGACTGGACAAATCGCATCACGAAAATCGGGATAATGAAAGGAAATGATAAAGTTAAAAACGCGACAGGAGGAGGGGCGGGGGAGGAAGAAGTTTCCAGTTTACGGCGGCTTATAAAAACCGATAAGTGGCATTTTGACAACAACGTCTTATTTAGAAACTTATATTTAACAAAGAAACTATTTTTTTTCCTAGAAGAGTGAAAACCGAACTTTGCATAATAGTACACACAAAAGTATTACCCTCCTTGGTGACGTCATACAAAAAGAGTGGATCTTCACAAAAAGATCTGGAGCTTTATTTAAAGCAAAAAAGGAACATCTAGAATTCTAGGCCTTATGATCTATAAAGGTAATGAGTTATCTAATCCACCTGAAATTGTTGACGCTTTTACAGACTTCTTCAATAGTGTGTTTATTGCTTCTAACCCTATGGACTACTCTCAGCTCATTTTTAACACTATTGATTTCATCTAGTCAGCAAGGTTTTGTGCAGAAAAATCAATCCTTACAAATTTAGCTGTATTTTCCTAATATATATCGCAAGTAATTTATGGTAATGGACAATGTGATGTTATGTATACTAATTTCGTAAAGGCTTTCCATAAAATAGATCATTGTTTATTACTGCAAAAGCTCTGTAATATTGGCTTCATAAATCAGTTATTGACCGGTAGAATCTCATTTGTGAAATACAGAAATTTTAGCCCTAAACAATTTACTCCATCTTCCGGTGTCCCACAAGCATCGAACTTAGACCCCTTGTTTTTGCTCTTTAATAACGATCTTCCTGATGCTATTCCTTGCAATAAATTTATGTTGCCTGATGATCTCAAATTATACATGGAATTAATTCTATTAATGATTGTCACTATCTTCAGTTTTGCTTAATTTTGCTTTGCTATTGGCGTATTCGAAATAGATTAATCTTGTATATCTCTATACTCTCTCCTATACTACTTGTGGTGTATGAATCCCAACCGAATTTTTGGAAAAAATTCAAAACTGAATAACAATTTTTTGCAATATAACTTTGAAACTGCAAAACCGATTTCCCTGAAATCTTATAAATATTTTAAGGTTATCTCAAAATTTTGACGAATACATTTTTGGTGTTTCGAAATTTTCGATTTTTGCTTTTCTCAATTTTTCTGTAAATCGATTCTTTTATTTTTCGACTTTTAAGGTAGTTTCCCGATTTTCCGAGTTTTTCATTTTTGACTTTTCGATTTCTCGATTTCTCAATTTTCCGATTTCTCCAGTTGTCGATGTTTCGGTTTCAGCTTCTTTCAGTTTAGGGATTTTTCAGTATTTCGATTTTTGAATTTTTCGATATTTGATGTTTTGATTTCTCGATTCAATTGAATTATTCTTCAATTTCTCGACATTTTAATTTTTCGTTTTTTTTGTTTTGATTTCTCGATTTTTCGGTTTTTTACTACTCCAGTTTTCAATTTTCAAGTTTTCAAACTTTTAAATGTTAAATTTTTCACTTTTTTGATGTTTCGATATCTCCATCTTTCGATTTTTCGACTTCTCGCTTTTAGATTTTTCGATTTCTCAATTTTTCGACATTTTAGTTTGAGGATTTTTCAATTGGTAGATGTTTCAAATTCTTGATTTTTCCAATTTTCGATTTCTCGAATTTTTATTTTTCGAGTTCTCGATTTTAGGATTTCAGTTTTTCGATTTATCACATTTTTTGATTTTTCAATATTTCAATTTTTTGATTTGATTTCACGATTCAATTTTTCGATTCTTCAATTTTTCGACATTTTAAATTTTTGACTTTTTTTTTAATTTTAGATATTTTGTTTTCTCGATTTTTCGGTTATTTACTACTTCAATTTTCAATTTTCAATTTTTGAAATTTTTAAATATTAGATTTTTCACTCTTTTGATGTTTCGATATCTCTATCTTGCGATTTTTCGACTTCTCGCTTTTAGATTTTTCAATCTGTCAATGTTTCGACATTTTCGTTTGAGGACCTTTCAATTTGCCGATTATTCAAATTCTCGATTTTTCGAATTTTCGATTTCTCGATTTTTTATTTTTCCAGTCCTCGATTTTACGATTTCAGTTTTTTGATTCTTCAAATTTTTCGATTTTTCAATATTTTAATTTTTCGATTTTTTAATGTTTTGGTTTCTCGATTCAATTTTGCGACTTTTTAATTTTTCGTTTTTTTTTTTAATTTTAGATATTTTGATTTGTCGATTTCTCGATTTTTTAATAATTCAGTTTTCAATTTTCAATTTTTCGAATTTTTAAACATAATATCGAGTTCTAGATTTTACTTTTTTGATGTTTCGATATCTATATCTTTCGATTTTTCGACTTCGATTGAGGATTTTTCAATTTGTCGATTCTTCAAATTCTCGACTCTTCGAATTTTCCATTTCTCGATTTTTTATTTTTCAATTTCTCGATTTTCCAGTATTTAAAGTTTACACTTTCAGCTTTCAATTTTTCGATTCTTCAATTTTTCGAAATTTTAATTTTTTGTTTTTTTAAATTTTAGATATTTCTATTTCTTGATCTTTCGATATTTTCGACGTCTCGATTTTTGATTATTCGGTTTTTTAATTTTGAAAAATTTTTTAACTTAAATGTTTCAATTTAAAATTTTTCGATTTTCGGTTATTCGACTTCTGATCTCGATTTCTCAATCTTTTGATGTTTCGATATCTAGGTGTTTCAATTTTTCAATTTCGATTTCTCGGTTTTTCAGTTTTGAGACTCTTCAATGGTACGGTTTTTCAATTTTTCAACATTTTAGTTTTAAGATTTTTCAGTTTCTCAATTTTTTAGTTTTCCAATTCGTCAATTTTTATTTTTTTTTAATTGTAGATTTTTCGATTTCTCGATTTCTAGTTTTTTGATTTTTAGTTTTTCGATTCTTCAATTTTTCGATTTTTCAATTTTTAGATTTTTTTTAATTTTAGATTTTTCGATTTTTAGTTTTTGATTTTTAGTTCTTCGATTTTTTAAATTTTATATTAACGATTTTTCCAATTTTCGATGTTAGGAGCTCTTGAAGTTTCGAATCCCCAATTTTAAACTTTTTAGTATTTCTTGATCTTTCGATTTTTCGACTTCTCGTTTTTAGATTTTTTGGTTTTTCAATTTTTGATTTTTAAAATATTTCACTTTTCAAGTTTTCAAGTTTTCGATTTTTAAATTTTTCAATTTTTAGTTTTCCAATTTTTTAATTTTTCGTTTTATCGGGTTTTTTAAGTTAAATGTGTCAATTTAAAATTTTTCGATTTACAAGTTCGACTTCTGGACTTCTCAATTTCTCAATCTTTGGATTGGATGTTTACACCTAGAATCTCAAGTGTAAGTAAGTAAGTAAGTAAGTAAGTAAGTAAGTAAGTAAGTAAGTAAGTAAGTAAGTAAGTAAGTAAGTAAGTAAGTAAGTAAGTAAGTAAGTAAGTAAGTAAGTAAGTAAGTAAGTAAGTAAGTAAGTAAGTAAGTAAGTAAGTAAGTAAGTAAGTAAGTAAGTAAGTAAGTAAGTAAGTAAGTAAGTAAGTAAGTAAGTAAGTAAGTAAGTAAGTAAGTAAGTAAGTAAGTAAGTAAGTAAGTAAGTAATTGATTAAAAAATATTATGCACAAATAATTTGTAGCATTTTGTAACGAGAAATCCTACATTTTTCAACTGAGAGATTAGCAAAGTGTTTAAAGATTTAAAGTAGAACCTGCAAGAACTCGTACAGCTCTCCATTGAAGCCTAAAAAGATTGTTAAGTGAGGAACAATGCCCCCAGATGAGAATCCCATATCCCAAGTGAGACTATACTAGGGCATGAAACGCAACTTTTAATACATCACGATCGACAAAATTGGATAGATTTCTTAATAAATACGTACTTCTTTTTTATTTTAGTGACTATGTACTTTATGTGTTCATGCCATAGTAATTTTGTATCTAAAATAATATCGAGGAACTTATTGATATTTTCAGTATTTAGAAATATGTCTTTTTTTTCAGAGAAAAAACATATTAACCGATTTTTTTTATTGACACAAAGTTTATTAGCTAAAAACCAGGGTTTTGCATAGCAATGTATATTAAGAAAAGTGTGTCACTAATTCAGTGGCTGATACACATTTACCAATAGTGCTATCGTCTGCATATTTAACTACAGAATAATTATGAGAAAAAAAATGTGTCAGATCATTTACGTAAATTAAAAAAAGTAATGGCTTTAGTATTGAGCCGTGAGGTACTCCATATGTAATTTCCTTTGGTCAGAAGATACACCGTCAATATTAATTATTTGAATCCTAACTAAAATTATACTTATTTTGTTGTATCTCAGGTAGTTTTTCACATACTATCTTGGTAAATTTAGAACGAAAGGTGCGTAAAAATATCACCCCCACAAGCTACAATTCACTCCATTTCCATTATTTCGCCTTACATCATTAAACAAAATATATCTCCAGA